CGAACTGTCGGGTTTTAATTAAGTTTTATTACCACGAAAAACAAATGGATGGTAAAGAGCCAAACCTGCTTATACAACAAAGTTAAAAAAAAAAAGATTTAATATTAAAAAAAGATTTATGTAGTGTTTTTTTGCTAACACAAATATACTATGATTAAAATTTTTAAGTGCAACTGCAAATACTTTTAATTTTTTCGGTTTAGTGGCTTTTGTTAAAGACTTTTAAACTTTGCGTCTAACTATCTCTTTTTTTCAACATATTCGTTGTATAGGCAGGTTCGGCGCTTAACCATCTAAATAAGCGAGGTGGAGGCGTTCTTATTTATATTAGAAATAGCTTAATACAAATTATCAGGCATGATATGAGCATTTATGATGCCGATAAAGATTAATTCACATTAATATACGATATACATAATACGAACGAAACTCTTCTGTAATTTTATTGAAGAAACTTATATTTTTAGTATAGTTTGCTTGACAAAAACAAAAGAGTTTTTAACAATAAAAATTTCAACCAATAAAACAAAAAAAATTATTCTAAGTTGTTGTTATCGCCCACTTCCGGGTGAAATTAATTTTAAAGTTTTAATTAATTTTTATTGAAATTAAAAGTTTTAATTTACTTTTATGGAATGATGTTATTAAAAAAAAGTAACCACGAGAAGAAATTTATCTATTTATTGGGTGATCTAAATTTAAATTGTTTTCAACACCACGTCAATAACATCAAAAGGTTTTATAATGTCATATTTGAAAATGGTGCAATTTCTTTGATTAGCAAACCTACAAGAAGTGCTCAATCAACTTTCTCTTTAGTTGATAATATTTTAAACACGGATATATTTAACGAATCTTAAACTAAAAAAGACATATCTGAATTCTTTCTTATATTCTTTTTTTATAAATGTTGATAAAATTAACAATCCAACGAAGCACTAATTTCCCTGAAGTTAGTGCAAATCTCAAAACTAAAAGTATTAATTCGCCTTGGATTACAAAGGGATTGCGGAGGTCTTCTAAAATCAAACAAAAATTATACATTAAATACTTAAAAACTAAAACAAATGAAAATAAAATTATATATAAAAATTACAATAACCTATTTAATCGTCTCAAGAAAAAACAAAAAAAAATAAATTAAATTCTAAACGCACGTGGTTTATTATATGAGAAGTTATTGGCAGCAAAAATTTCACATCACGGTCTCTGCCTAATTCAGTTACAGTTAATAATGATTTTTTATTTGATAAAAGAGAGATTGCTGAAGAATTTAATAAATAATTTGTGTCTGTAGGACCAAATCTTTCCAAACTAATTCCTAAATCTAACACTCTAATAAAAAACCTAAGTTTCCCAAAAAACTCTAACCTCTTTCAAATTATCTTTTGAGGAGTTTGCAAACGCCTTTCAAAATGTTAAAGTGTGACAAAGAAGTAGATGTTAATGGCAACTTTATAATAAGTTCATTTGATGTTATAAAAGACATACTCTATAAGATTTTTTCAATTTCAATTAAACAGGAAATTTTTCCACCAGCTTTAAAATTAGCAAAAGTAGTACCAATATTATAATGTAGTGACGATGAAAACATTAGAAACTATCGTCCGACTTCAATACTTTCAGTATTTTCTAAAGTTATTTATTATACAGCAATCAATATGGATTCCTAAAAAACAACTCTACTGAAATTGTATATCAATATGGATTCCTTTCTTCTTTTCTAGATTTACAATTTACTAGAAATACTTCTGATTCATTTGAAAAAAATCAACTTACATTGGGTATTTTTATTAATGTGGTTAAAGCCTTTGATACTATTGATCACTTAAGCCTTTATATTTTTAGCGGTTCTTGGTGACAAAATCTAATGGTCTTCTTTGAGTGTCTGCGTTCTTTGTTTTGTTTATTAAATGTTGTTAAGGTTTTACTCTTAACGATTTTTTTACTTGTAATTTATTTCTTGTATATATTTGAATAAATATTTTAATAAAGAACTTTATTTACTTTATTTGGCTATCTTTTTATTTTAATATAGTTATTGTTAGTAGTAAGCAACTGGGGTTGATATTTGACCGGGGCAGGGTCAAGGCCTGGTTTGTGACTGGGGCTGCATAAACATTTATACATCCTAAAGTATATACTTTTTTCAAATTACAAATTTATGCTATATTTTGTATATATATGCATATATAAACATCTTTATGATCAACATGATTATCATGATCATCATTATCATCATGATCATGATCATCATCATGATCATGATCATCTTCATCATCATCATTAGCATCATCAGGCTTCAGAAAACATTGCAGCCACTTAAAGTTAGAGTGAACTACTTCATTGTTATAGATAAAATCTAGTGGCAGTATCAAATGCTTTAGATAGATCCAGAAAAATTCCGAGAAAGTAATTTTTGTTTTCAAAACCATTCAAAGTTTGGTTCGCAAGATCAATTATTGCATGTTCCATGGAATAGTTTTGAGAATAAAAAAATATTTTTATCAAGATAATTGTACAGTCTGTTGTGCATTATACGCTCTAGTATTTAAGAAAAACAGTCATCGCCGCTTTTTGTATATTGGAATTATTTTTACCAATTTTCAATTTTCAATTTTAAAATGGAAAAATGCCGCTTTTAAGGGAAAAATAAAAAATTATAAAAAGAGGTTTCTCTATAATATCTGAGGCCGCCTATACAACATCAGAGTTAATTTCATCCAAAATCACACTTTTTTTTTTTTTCAATATACTAATTGCTAGCCAAAGTTCGTCAACCGAAAGATCCAATTCATCCATGAAGGAATCTGAATTAATTAAAAAAGGTTTAAATGATTTTTGTCCCTCAGCAATTGCACCCGCTAGTTTTTTTTTCTATATTTACAAAAAAGTCGTTAAATGTTTCTGCAATTATTATTAACTATTTGTTTAACCATAAAATATAAAAATTTACAATATTATTTAATAAACTCACATAAATAAGGTTAGGTGTCATTCATATAGTTATATCATTTTTTCTTTATTTTCAAAGGAACCTGCTCTACTATAGTAGAGCAGGTGCTTTAGAGATGATAGTACTGTCATCTATATGCAATTTTTTTGGCAAATTTTCACATTTCCCACTTCTCTTATTTCTTTAATTACACTTCATGTTTTATTTCCAAATGTTTTTTTAAGCAATGAAGAGTAACAATTTATTTTGGATTGCTTTTTTAACTTTTCAAAAAAATTTTTATATTTTTTGAACTTTATTTTATTTTTGTAGCTCCTTTTTCTAAAATTTTTGGTAGAGTTTTTGTTTGTTTTAGAGTTTTTGACGACTGTTTTATTAATACCAAAAATTAATAACCAAATTCTTATGATTAATTTTTTTCTTAATTTTGGAAAAGCATTTTTATAATGCTTCAAGAATACGCAAATAAAAAAATTTGTAGCGATTATTTACGTCATTGCAATAAGTCAATAGTTCCCAGATTACTTCTTAATTGAAAAACTTGAAATTGCAAATAATATTAGGAAACTATTTGTTGAAAAACTTAAAACTGCAAATGATATTAGAATTGAACGTGCTCATCTTGTTGATAATGGTGGCCCTGAACGAGTGCGAACGTTTGCGCTAAAGTTGCATGACTTTGAAGATAAAGCATTAATTATGGATGAAGCGAACAAACTAAAAGGTATTAATATATATATATATATATATATATATATATATATATATATATATATATATATATATATATATATATATATATATATATATATATATATATATATATATATATATATATATTAATGAGGATTTTAGTGAAACAATTTGGAGAATTTGTAAGGAACTATTTTCACAAGCAAAAACTCATTGGCAAAATGACTATTATCCAAAAGTTTTATATAATAAATTGATAGTTCACGAATTTAAGCAAAAAAGTATTGATGTAGTTGAAATTTTGCCGACTATTTAAAAATAGGTAATGTTATTATATGATTTCTTGAATAAACTCTTGTTTTATCTTTTATTTTTAATTTTTAAAAATAATTTGATTCTTATAATTTTAAAATTAAAAAAGATATTAATTTTTTTTCTATATCACATTTAAACATAAGAAGCATGCGTCAAAATTTTGAAAAATTTAAATATCATAAACTACACGCTCGACGTCATAGATGTGTCAGAGAATTGGCATGAAACATATAGTCCGATTGAATATAACTATAGCTTGCCAAATTACAAAGTAATTAGCCAACCACGAGGAAATCATAAAAAAGGTGGAGGACTAGGATTTTACATACTTAAAAAATATATATTTAAGATAAAAAATAAATATGCTTAGTAAATGAAAACTATGAAAGTCTTTTTATTGAAATAAATAATAAGAAAAATAAAAATACTATAACTAGATGAGTTTACCGTCACCATGTGGACAGGGCCGTCCCGAAAAGATTTAAAAGGGGGATGCCGTGTCTGTTTTTTGCCCACAAAAGCCAAAAAAAATTTTATTTGCCCACTAACTTATCTAAAAAAAAAAAAGGTCCTTGTTTTCCGATATTTGCCGACTCCCAACAACAATTCCAATTTTGCCGACTCTAGTGCTCAATATGCCGACTAAGTATCCTGGGCCTGCATCAAAATGGCCTTGGGCCAGCACTGGCCCGTTAGCCATAGGCCAGCAATAGCCCGCAATCGTTCGCCAGCAATGGCCTGCGATCGTTCGCCAGCACTGGCCCGGGATCATTTGCCAGTACTGGCCCGCAATCGCTTACCATTTCTAGCCCATTATCTGTTATCAGTACTAATCCATGATCAATTTCCAACATTTGTTCGTATTCGCGTGTCAGTACTAATTACTTTTTACTAACTAATACACTAGCACGTTATTATTTGCCGTTTCTGTACAAATGTATTATCCCGCATGAATCAAACAAATAAGTACTTTTCGAAATTTATTCCCAACCAAAAGTGTGTTAAAAAATAATGAAATAAAAAATAAAAAATGTTATTAAATGTTTAAATTGTTATTTATGCAAATAATTTTTTATACAAAGAAAGTTCCTCTTGAGCTTTTCGTCCGCCATTTTGAATCCCCGAAAAGCTAAAATATATCTTCAGTTAATGTTCAAACTCTTCTCATGATGCTCCTAAGCTTTTTTCACAGCATCTAAATAACACAAAGTAAAACTATGTGTAAAAAATAATAAACAATTAAACTAAAATGTATGATTAAAATTTACATTACATACACATAGGGTAATTAAAAAAACCCTTTTGTATTTAATAAAATAACACTAGATATAAAATTTTAAAAAAATTTTAAACATAAGACAAGTTCATATTATTATCGAAAAAGAAAATTATATAAAAATAACTCCAAGAGTAAATTGCGAGATTACTACTAACCAATGCAATAAAGTATTTTTTTTGCTCACATGGGCAAGAAAACATCTCACAGATAAACATCGATTGGATGCCATTTAAGACCCCAAATCTAAAATAACAAAAAATTAACAATAATTGAAACAGTTAAATTCAGTTTACTATTGCTTACTATGTGCTTCAATTTTAGTATTAGATGCAACTAATGATGCAATACTGATTTAGGGAGCTATGAGAGCTTTAATTCATCCAGCAACTGATTAACACGCAACTAAGTTGATATCACCTCAATAGGCAACAACAAAATATTTTCATTTTTCTTCAATCAAAGCAAATTTTTTAGAATTAAAGCACTAAAAATAAATTCAGACATTGTCACCTTATAAAGCACTATTTTAAATAAATTCTTCATTGCTTTCGAAAAAAGTAAGTCCATCAATTTAACTTGATAAATTTTGATGCACATTTGTATCCTATTAACATAAACTAACTAAAAGATTTTTTCAGAACATTTTGGAATTTAGTTACAAAAATAAAAAAGAATATTCAAATGAAAAAAGTATGAAAATACATCCTTTTCTAAAACTTCAGAAGCAGAGTGTTTTTTTAAAAAGTTATTTATTTTTAAATAATCTGAAGAAATCAAATTTTCAATACTTAAAAATGTTAAAGAAGGAATAGCACGAGCTGGAGCAAGTGTCTTATTTTATTATTTACAACTTTCTTTTTTTTTCAGTAACTGTGGAGTGTCAGTTTCTGAACTTAAAATTACAAATTTATGATAATATACATTTCTATAAAAATCTGAAAATGAACCAACATTATGATATGATGATCATCGTCTAAATTACATATGCTCATCATTATCACGTATATCATATCATCATCGCAATCATCATGATCATTACCTGGTAGGACAAAGACTTTTCTGAAATTTGTTTACTTCTAAATTTATCATGTTCTACCTGGGTTATTACCGTCGTTTATTGAAAAAAAGTCTGAAGAAACTTTTGCCATAGGTAATTTTTCCTTTGTTTAGTCATATGTAACTAAAAAAATCAAAATAGTAAAAAAATTTTAGAAAAATACTTCAAAATAAAAAACAAACAAAAAAATTATATACTATAGAAAAAATATATATTTGTAAAAATATACATAAAACAACTAACCAGGGTTATACAAAATAATTTTATCATAATCAATCTAATCATTCATATAATCTTTACATTTTTTTAATAGTAAATGTGGCGAGTCTTATAGGATCATCAACAAATACCATTGTTATCTAACTAAAAAAAGTTATATATATATATATATATATATATATATATATTATATATATATATATATATATATATATATATATATATATATATATATCCCGCACACTTTTCAATCCCGCGGGATCCGCGCGGACTTTTTAATTTATGTGCGGATCCCGCGCGGGATTGGTAGATTTCTTATGTACGTTATAAAAGGCAAAATGATAATTGTATTTTTCTTTCAATTAATTCAGAAAAAATATACTCAACTTATTAAATTGATAGAATGAGATAAATGAAGCCAAAAACACAATTCATTTGTAAGTCAATATAATTCTTAATTTAATGAACAAAAGGATAAGATAAAAATACGTAAAACGTCTTTTAGTTTTACGTAGAGCGCCTTTTAGCTTTACTTATTTTTAAAAATAAGTATGAGAAAGTATCATTGTAAGAAATGCGCTTTAACAAACAGACCCTCCTTAAAGTATCATCACATAATCTACTCCTCAAAGAACTGCATATATAGCCAGCAGCTGAAAAAGCTCGCTCCGCCTCTACACTTGTTTGTGATATGGTCATCAAGTAATTATGAGCTATATCTAGAAACTTGCTTCTTACTCCGTTATTTTCATAGGCAGACATTTCCTGCTTCAATAATTTATTAAAGCCTAAAGAATCTAAATTTGGTATCTCCTTTACATTTTCTGTCCAGCTTTTCTTGTCTTTCTGTATATGATTTTCCAATTCTTTTTTCAGCGATAGAATTGTAGGAGTAAGTATTTGGGAATTGTTAATAGAACCTACAGCTTCTTTTTCTTCAAGTTCATTTTCTTCGTCTTTATTTCTTTCAATTGAATAAACTCTTGTCAATATTTTTTTTATTTCTTGACGCATAACGGTTCTCTTTGGCATTGAAAAAGTATTTGCATTTTTTTTAATTTCTTGTTCACATTTTTTAGGATTTTGTAAGTAAACCAGTAGTCCATTTAAATTCTTATTACGACGTTGTGCAAACCTCTCACGAAGTGCCGCGGCTAAATCAATGCTCAAAAGTGATGATTGCTTTTGTAATTTATCTAACATAAATTTAAAAGTTGTTTCCGCAGTGACAAGGTTCGATTCTCTCCTGCATAATAGTTCGAGACTAAGTTTTAGTGGTGCCAGACAAATAATTAAGTCATTAATTTGGGACCATTTTTCTTGGGTCAAACAAATTTCTGACCCAACATCAATTAAGACTTTTTCAATACACACTTTTAGTCTATGAAATCTTTCTAACATATCGAACATACTGTTCCACCTAGTTTTACAATCAAGAATCAACTTAAGCTTTTTGCCGTGTTCATGTAGGATATACTTCTGTAAATATGTATCATTTTTGACCGGAGAGTTTTCAAATATTTTCACAACCTTTCTCACTTTTTTCATGAGATCTTTGTAATTGCTAACCAATTCAGCAGATGGTTGGTCCAAAATTGTTGTCAAACCATATTCTTTATTTATAACTTCATCATTATCAGTGTTCTCATGTTCATCTTCTTCTTCGCAATTTTTATTTGTAGTAAACGATTCTTTGACTTTTCCGTTGTTTTTCTTGTATAAGATATCAATAACTGCAAGTTGTATTCCATGAGCATAACATAATTGATGAATGCAAGACATCAATTTAACGACTTTCACCATCACACTTTGGTGTGATGGTGAAAGTCGGTAAAAACACTTTGGAGGTCGATATTGAAGCTATTTAGCTTTCCTGCAACTAACTTGACGCAATATTCTGCATTACACGATCCATGGATTCGAATCAATCCAAGATTATAGTGTTTTGCCTCCATATGTACATTTAAGTTAAGGTATCTCTGACTATTTTGTGATGTCCATTCGTCAAACGTTATTGAAAACTTTTGATTTTGCTTTTTTAGTGATATAAATTTTTGCATTATATCGACTTTTACAGAATCTGATAATTTTACTACCATCGATCTTATAGTATTAGGTGAAGTAGGGAGCCGGAAACCACTCTTTGAAAATAAATACCGCAAATCTGAAAATGTGCAAAAACTATTAAATGTAAAGCCATCTTTAGCAACCATGCGCGATTCCATTTTTTCCATAGAAAGTTCTTTTACAAAAAACGTGTCTATTGTTTTGACCTTTTTTGATAGAATTACCTCTTCGTCTTCGCAGTCGATGCATATTTTAGACTCTAGTTCGACTGATTCATGCTGTTTTGAAGTTGAAGCTCCGTCTTGTTGTAAAACGTTTAATTTTAAATCAGTTCCATATTTAGTTTTTAAATGGGTTAATAACCCTTTTGTTGATCTTTGACTAATTTTTAAAATAGCCGAACATAACATGCACTTCGGATTTTCTCCTTTATTACTCTTTTTAAAATAGTTCCATATAGTTTTGATTTGCGACATGCTTAGTAGGTACTTTTGTTTTAAAATCTTGATCTAAATAATTTTTGAAGTCTTTTTAAAAAGTAGTGCGCTTTTTATTAATCACGTTTTCAATTTAACGTTTTCAACGTATTCATCAACAAAAATTTCAATATACTCATAAGCAAAAATTTCAACATAGTCATTAACAAAACAAAAAAAATTTGAACGAGTTTCTCAGTATACATTTTATTGTGCATTTAATTACTAGTAAACTTTTAAATGAACTTGTTATGCAAATACATTAAATACTTTAATTTGATATCTTTTTTGTCTTTGTTTATAGAATTGCTTTTTTTTATATTTAAAAGCAATAATTTAAAAACTCAGCAAATCCTGCGGATCCCGCAAATCCCGCGGATCCCGCAGTAGTTTTTGCGGGATCTCGCATGCGCTAAAATAATGTGGGATCCCGCGGAATTGCGGGATCACGCAATGCGGGATTGCAATCCCTATATATATATATATATATATATATATATATATATATATATATATATATATATATATATATATATATATATATATATATATATATATATATATATATATATATATATATATATATATATATATATATATATATATATATATTAGGCCATCCCATATTTTTTTTTTGACAACCAAATTACATGCGGAGTCGCTAATGAATGGCGTAGAGGTCATATTTATAGGTCAAATTTTTTTATTTTTTATTTTTTCCTGTTAGAAGTATTCGCGCCGGTCGTTCGAAGTTACGCACTAGGCAATTTATGACCAAAATTGAGCAGTTTTCAACACAACGGCGCGAATCGATTCTGATGTCGAATCCAGTTAATTTTTTCATTTATATTCTCTTCATGTGTTTCCATACCAAAAAAAACACTATGCTTTTCGAGTTAAGAAATACATAATGCCTACCGTTCACTGATTTTGATAGAAAAATCAACATTTGTGTTATTTCAAAGTGCCTTTTTGTTGATCTATGAGGTCATTTTCAGTCATGGTGCAATATATATATTTTTTTACTTCTTATTGGTATCAAATGATGTTTTTAAAAAATTACTTTTGTTGGAACCTAAGATTAAACAAAGCCAAACTTAAAATGGTTACCGCCAAAAGATTTGTTATAGGACTTTAAATATTTTGCTGTAGTTTTAACTAGATCAAAATGTGTTGATATATTTCAGAAAAGATCTACTTAGATTTTGTGTGTGTTATTTTAAATTCTCATTAAATTTTAAGTGCTCATCGCAGAGCACCGCAGGAAAATTTTTTACTAGTAAACGTCGTTTATATGACTAAACCGGCATCAATCCTCGGACCTCCGATATTAAAGTAAGAACTCTAAGTACTGCCGTAGCTGCTATTATATTTATTATATATATAATAAATTCTTTCCTTTAAGACACATATCTCTAAAAATTACATAATTTAGTTTTTTTTTTAAATACATTTTCAAGGTTTAGAGTCTACAGTAAGGTAATTCTAATTATTAGAGATATTGGAAAGGTTTTGAATTATTAACTCACAGCCAGTAGCGAGTGAGCAGGCGTTGTAACTGACTCCTTGTATCCATTCTTCGTCTTTTTAAATGGCTTTTCCAAGAGTTTTTCATTTGGAGAAGGTTCTGAAGTTTTTCCTCGCTCTTCGCACGCTCTACATTATCTTGAATGAGTTTTACTGCACGTTCTGATGAGTCGTTAACAACTTCGACAGATTTTACGAAGCTTTGAAACTCATTGTATCCTGGAAATTCTTTCCAAAAAATCTGAGGGAGTTTCATCCATAGACATTTTTCAGAAGTATGACATAGGATATCAAAAATTAACCAGGAATCTGGCGAAATATATGATTCAAGACCTAATGGTTGATCTATATAAAACAACAAAACTGCTATCCGAAAGGATTTTAAATTTGGTTCTAACCGTTCCTATATTTTTAATGCCACTACAAGCTTTGCCAGTTCACAATAATCTTTGCGCTTCTTAAAAGTCTAAATGTATATAATTTACAACTTAATTAAAAACTTTTATGTTTCTTCTTTCTATTTTTATAGTTGGTATATATATTTGGTATAAAGTTGTTTTAAAGTAATATATTTCAATATTTTAACCTTACCTGATTATTTCTTAACTTGTTTTTATCTATCAGGTCCTTGCAAGTTTTTAGCGCCAATAGAGCCTGCGTCTCCAACCTGGTATTCTTAACATTCTGGTGATTAAATTTCAACAGCATTTTCTCGTTGTTTGCATCAATACCATGCCAGTTCTGCTTTAGAAATTTAAATAGTTGATTCTCTGGTCCAACAGATTTGTTTACTGCAACTTCATTGCAAAAGTGTTTTATATGGAGCTCTCCTACATGATGGCGGCAGGCTAACAAGAGCAATGGTCGGCCGTGAAAATTAGCTAATCTTGCACAAGCTCCTTTTAAATAGCCAGTGTTTGAAGCAGTGGTATCAAAACAAACTCCGTGGATGAACTGCCCTAGATCAAAAGAATCTAATAGATTTTGAGTTGCTGTGAACTGAGCCTCACCACTGCCGTGTTCCAACCCTGGAGCGCCTAACAGATGGGTCTGATTGTCATGCCTTATAAGCACACAAATTCGGTCTTTTGTCTCATCTATGCTACCCGTATAATCTTTGATAATTTTGCCATCAAAAGGCATAATGATGGGTTTGCCGCTCGTCTTAACCATACTGGTTATGTTTGCTCTAAGAACACCAGCATCATTTCTTATTATTATATCAAAAATCCTGTGAGTTGAGCTGTGGGATAATGTTACATTTTCTATATCTTCACTGGCATTGCAAAGAAAAGAAGAGATAAGTGCTGTTGCCTGGTTAGTAGATATTCCCATCCCAATAGCAGTTCTGGCAGTTTTTAAAAAAAATGTCTTTTGGTATCTTTAGAGTCATACTTTTAACTGTCTTCTTCGTTGATGCGTTACCAATCTTAAAATCATCTTCGGAACATGTATCATTAGAGTCATCAGTAATCATTTCACTTTCAGAGGAAAATCCGGAGAAATCATGGAAAGTTTTTTTTACTATACCAGAGGTTTTAGAGTTATTTCTTGATGCAGATCTATTACTAACATCTACAAACCGACCGTCCAACGCTCCAACCACCATCTTTCAGCAACTTAGCTGGTCCCGTATGAAGGTTAAATCTTCAATCTTATCTGCTTCCAGTCTTAGCCTATCAGTCTTTAAACTACGTTCAAGAAGCGTAATGTCTTCTCCAGCCCAAAATAATCCTTTAAATTTAATTTTATTAGGTAAGAACAAGAAAAAGCAAACTATTTACTTCACAATAAATTAGCTTAGTACTGGCTGTTTGACTAGAAAATCTTAACATTTAATATTTATCCCCTACCTGTCATTGATTTCTCAAATTTATTTCTTGTCTCAAGATAACCAATTTCAATTTTTTTTCTGGGATTTCTTCAAAGCCATGTACTTTTCTACATACTTCTTGACATGAAACATCATCCTTTTGTCACTAATGACTTTGAAGATCCTTCAGTGCTTTCTTTGGAAATTGTTCTCTTAAAAATAAGTAGCGTTGGATAACGTGAATCCTTAGGGGCAGCTGGTTTGTTTCCATTCTATCCAGAGTGACGTTAGCTAGGAACATGCTCTTGCGACTCGATCTTCTTTTTTTTAAAACCCTTCTTGGGACAGGGATACATCTCAGATACTTTTGTTGTCATAGCTAGCTTTAAAACAAAATTTCATAATGTTACTCATTGATCATAATGTTAATCACTATAAACATTTTCATAATTTGTATGAAGTTTAAAATTTTTTAAAAGTTCATTTAAAATATTATAAATGTTTAAATAACCTAATTCATTAAACTATAATTATAAAATATAACATGCATTATTATGTTATGTTGTTATAATAAACTTACTTGAGGTGGAAATAATAGATTTTTTAAAATTAAAAATTGTTAAGTAGCGCGATAAAAAAATTGTTTTCTAAACTGCGCTTTTTTTAAATATTACCCGATTTTTGCGTTTCTAAAGTACCACCTGGTAACAAATATGATAATAATAAAAATGCGCACAATCGGTATGGATAAAAAACCTTCCGTTCTTTGTATTGACCCAGTTAAATTGTTAAAGGTTTATAAATTTCTATTCGTTCCACACATAGAATATTGTACAGATGTACAATATTCTATGTGTGGAGGAACTAACGATTTATATAGTTATAACATAATGTTAGATTGTTTATAGGCAATGGTGTGATTTATCATTTCCATAATTTTGTTTGCATTTTCAAAAGCCCCCATGCACTGGTTAGATGCTTTCAAATCATGTGATATCACAACCCCAAGGTTTCAGTCTCAATTTCTTCTAAAATAACCCCATTTATACTGTATTCATAACCAATGTTCTTTTTGATATGATATGAAATGAAAGTGAAATGAAAATGAAAAAATCAATCGACCAATAACAATAAAGAAATCTTAATTTTGACTTACTTTAATTTTCACCTCACTATTTTATTAAAAGATAAATATCATATTCAGTGACCCAACAGTTTTGAAACTCAAATTATAAGTTTATATAATGCTTTAAATTTTTTTTTTTTTTTGCGGAGCAAAAATTTATTGAAGGATTTCTAAAAAAGTCTAGCATAATTTCATATTAATAATGAAACTTTTTTATCTTTCAGTTCAGTGACGCAACCTAATTTTTTGCATACGTGTATGTGTTTTTGCATACGTGTAATGTATTTGTTTGAAAAAGACCACTTGAATTATTTTTAAAATCTAAAAGTTTTTTATTCAAGTCATATATTTAATCTAGAAGAACCTTTTTAAATGAAAAGATATATATTTTTAAAAATGTTTGAATTACCTGTCTTTAAATTTTATTTGCTTTTTCAAATAGTATAAAGAGAAAACAACCGCTTACTTTTGTCACATTTAACTTTTTGACTCGAAATTCAATTAATAAGAAACTTCATTGTTTTTAAACTATAGTTAAAGAAAAAAAGTTTTTGAAAAACAAAGTTTTTTAATATCAAACTTGCCTCTTCCATCCTGGAAATAGCCATATAGATAACACAAAGATATATTTTATAGTGCCACTGTATAATAGATTACAAATATACTTATATACTTAGTGACAAAACATATAGAATATATATTAGTAACAATGTTAGTAATCAAATATGTAGTATACATAAAACCATTTTTTAGAAATTTAATTACCTAGGTCACATAATTGAAAATAATTTAACTGATAATGCTGATATAAATAGTTATATTTAATGTCTATTTACACGTACAATTATTCTTAACAGACGATTTAAAAGATGCTCAGTAAAGTTAAAAATACAGTTGTTTAAGGCGTACTGCCTCTTTATGATGCATTTTTGTGGCTTAACTTTAGTGTAAGTACTTTTTCAAATCTACAATCTTGTTACAAGAAATTTAGCTATGACAAGTACTCAAGTTATAAAAATATGTTTACGCTGCTCTTGATACTTAACTGCTTAACTGCTGACATTTTAAAAATCAGCTTGTCGCCTGCGCCAGTAATAATGCTAATAATAACGCCAGTAATAATAATTGTTAATTGATTGTTGTTGTTGTTGTTGTTTATTTGTGTTTTTTTTTACTATAAGCCTTGTATTGTACTTGTTGTCTGAAATAAATGAGTTATTGTATAATTATTTTTGAAATTTATCATAGCATAATTATTACCATAATTTATTACATGCTATGTAAAATTGACTATGTATGTAACAGTAACAAGCATGTTCAAATATATTATAATACACAAAAAGTCATGCTTGTGTTATTGGAACCACTTAATTTTTTATACTTGTAGGTTTAGAATGGAGGATAATAAACTGCATCGCAAGGCAAAGAAGGACTTATGGTTAGAAGTGGTTTTTAGCAAGGCGCAAAGAAAACAGATTGTTAATTTGTGTCATAGCGAACCTACTGCTGGACATCTTGGTAGAACACGAACTTTCTACAAAGTTGCAGAACGATTTTACTGGCCAGGAATTTTCAAAGATGTAGAAAATGCTGTATGTTTGTTACATTTATACATATATATATATATATATATATATATATATATATATATATATATATATATATATATATATATATATATACATATATATATATATATATATATATATTTTATATATATATATAAATAAATATATATATAAATATATATATATATATATATATATACATATATATATATATATATATATATATATATATATATAAATATATATATATATATATATATATATATATATATATATATATATATATATATATATATATATATATATATATATATATATATATATATATATATATATATATATATATATATATATATATATATATATATATATATATATATATATATATATATATATATATATATATATATATATATATATATATTAGGGTGCATCACAAAACAACAATTTAAAAATTTTGATTTTGTCTGACACCTAATTGTGTTGTATTGTAACACTTGTATTTCAAATATTTTAGAAGAAAAAATATTTTTAGAGGTTCCACAACACCCTTGAATATTTAATGGGTCACTAATATTTTCAGAAAAATAGTTTCTTTTAAGTAGGTCATGTTTGGTCTTAAATGAAGCAAAATTTTATAAAAAAATTTCAAAATAATTATTTCATAAAATAAAATGTTTCTTCAGATTTTTTTTGCCATAGATATGGCAAATAAGAAAAAAGTGGAAATGTTTTTGTTATTTTTGTTGCAGAAAAATCTAAAGTAATGTTTTTTTTATAAAATAATGATTATTTTAAAATTTTGTTATAAAATTTCGCTTCATTTAAGACTAAACATTACCAACTTTTAAAAAACTACCTTTTTGAATATTTTAGGGACCCGTTGGATATTTAAAGGTGTTGTGGGACCTCTAAAAATATTTTTTCTTCCAAAATATTTGAAATCCAGCGTTTTTTTAATATATAAAACACGATAAAGTGTCAGACAAAATCAAAATAAATTTAAATTGTTGTTTTGTGATGCACCCTAATATATACATATATATATATATATATATATATATATATATATATATATATATATATATATATATATATATATATATATATATATATATATATATATATATATATATATATATCAGGAATTTACTTACGAATCCTAAAAAAATTGTTATTTTTTTAGGATTCGTAAGTAAATTCCTTGTGAACTTATAAAAATTTTTATTTTTCGATATGCAAATGCATTTTTTGACAAAATTTAATTTGTTTTAAAGTTTTAAATAATTGTGTAGTGTAGACGTTAGGGCGGTGTAAAAAAAATATTTGTGACAAAAACTAATTTTATTTTGTAAAGCTGTGAACAGTACAAGTAAAATTTACATAGACAAGTAAAATGAAGTATATGAAAACTTTACATAGAAAAAAATATTTTGTTTATTTTAAAATTTTTAAATTTGTATAATACAAATGGATTTAAATTTTCTGCGTGATAACTTCTCTATAATAATAAATTTTATTTAAATATTTTAAATAAAAATTATTTAAAGGGTACTTTAAGAGTTAGAAAAATATCTCAAATGCATAAAAATTGTGATGTAAGTCCATCCTTTAGGGCACCAAAATGCTGAAAATAAAGTTGTGAAGGTACAAGTGTCTCTTCAGAAGTTGTGAAGGTACAAGTGTCTCTTCAGTACTTACTGAAGTACGAACACCTTTAATCGTAATTATTTTTGCAGTTTCATATTGCTGATACCTGTTTGTTAAAAACTGTTACTCCATTTCTTGGCAGGATTCCCACTCCTCCCTAAAAAACCAAATCTCCTTAAAACTCCCTAATAACCTTATAAAAATAGGAAAATGTGGCTATTCTGCTTAATTGCTTTTTATACCCTCTATAAAATTGTATTGATTGATTATACTAATCATAGAGAGGCATATGTTTATTTGATTCTCTACAGAGTTGTTAGTCCTTGGCCTTGGCCAAAGGTTAAATCCTCGGCTATGAAACTTGGCCTTGGCCTTGTCCTTGAAACCTTTGGTCTTGGCTTTCCATCATATCTTTTGAATTTAGAACTATAATTATTTCATAAATATTAGTATTTCATAATGTCTTTACCTATACCAACAACCAACTTGTGCTTATATGGCATTGAATTTGAAAAGCGTGTATTAAGCATATTTGTTTTAATTACAAGCTATAAATCTTTTAATACTAAACATATTTAACTAAAAACTGTATAATTTAAGTTTATCATTGTGTAATTGTTTTTAGTAATACTGTTATATTACCTACAATATTGAATAAAATTTTTGTTAGAATGGATTGATAATGGCCCTCAAATAGATGGGATGCCTGATTCGTTGCTTGACAGTTTTACATTTCTTAAGTGTAATAAAGACTGTAAAAAAAAGATTGTTTTGCACATTTTTTAAAAATGTTTAATAAATGTGTGATGCAAATTATAAAATTATGTGTGTGATGCAAATATTAAGTCGCG